CTTAAAATTGTCTACATGGGCAGGAATCAGCCCTTTGTCCAGGTAGTCTCGGGTGGAGTTCGATAATCCTGCTTCCAGACTCTGATAAAGCACGGATCCAAGGTCGGTGTGTGTGTACCCAGGAGGCATTGCCCATCTCCATGGAAACAGGAAGAAGGGCAGAAAATTAAGTTCCTAAGACTTAGGATGTCTTGTGCAATCTTGGGACATTAAATTTTGCAAATAGGACAGAGCCTGGCACAGAAAAGGCTCTCATTTATTCATTCATTCAACAAGTGTTTAGTCAGGGCCTTCCCTGGGTCAGGTGCAATTTTAGGTACAGAGGATACAGTGATGTGCAAAATTGACATGGTCCTGCCCTGTGAATGCTTCAGTCTAGTAGGAGAAACATTAATCCAAAAGAATGCAAGTAGTTAGCTGTAATAATGGGTAGGAAAGAAAGTGCCAGGGACTAGGAGAGCCTGTAGCAGGGGACCTGGTCACACTGTGGGTCAGGGAAGGCTTCCCTGGGAAAGTGCTCCAGTGAGCTGAGAGATGGAGGCTGAGTAAGCACTAACCAGTAGAAGAGGGAGCAAGAGAACGTTCCAGGAGGAGACAACAGCGTGTGCAAAGCCGTACATGGAAAGGAGCAGGGCACACTGCAGAACAGAACAAAGTCCTGGGAGGCTGGGGCACAAAGAGCCGGGGAGGCCGTGGGAGCAGGCTGGTGAGCTAGGCGGGGCCCCCTAACAGGTTTTCGTCTTTATTCTGAGTGCAAACAGAAGCCATTGAAGAGTTGTAAGCAGGGAAGGGATTTGCTTTTTTGAAAGATGGTTCTGATTTCTGTGTGAAGAATAGATTGGAGGAGGAGCAGGGAGAACCATTAGGAGGCTGTGACAGCCAGCGGTCCAGAGAGATGATGGCACAGCTGGTGGGGGAAGGGAGGAGGGAAAGAAGTGGGAATATTCAAGAGAGAAATGCTGGGAGCCGGGAGAGATGGCTCTTGATGGATCCGGTGAAGGTTTTGAGGGAGAGGGAGGTATCAGGGATGACTCTGGCTCTGGCTGGGGCCTGGGGATAGATGATGAATCAGGTTTCAGCAACAATAATTTGTAAATCTTTCCGTATGACCTTCTTTGTTCCAGATACTGTCCTGGGCACTGGGGCTGCAGGCGAGGAGGGTGGCCCCTAACTTCAGGGAGCTCACAGTCTAATGGCGGAAAGCTGACGTGTGATTGGGGTATCTGTGAATGCGGGGAGAGACTGTGAAACGGTGCCACAGGGAAGATACGGACAAAACGAATTTGGAGAGACACGTCCAGGAAGACCTTGTGAGGAGCGAGATCTGAGCCGAGCCATCAAGGACAGACAGGGAAAAGTGGGTGAAAGAGGGCAATCCAGGCAGCAGAAATAAAGAAACAAAACACTGGGAGTATGTAAACAGCGTGGAGCAGCCCAGGACAGTGCGAGGAGGGTGAGGCTGCAGGGCTGGCACCACCTCCCCTGCTTCCTCCAGGGCTGCCGTGGGGTCTGGTGAGCTCAATAACGAGTGTGTGAGCATTTAGCAAACTGTTACTGCAGTTATTCTAGTAATGGACTTATTTGTGTGATGCACCCAGGCACTCTACAAGTATCAAGAACTATGATTTCAGATCCCTGCCTAACAGGATCATCTGATCCTCTGTTGTAATAAGTCCCTGACATTTGTGTTGTTATCCCCATTTTACAGGTGGGGAAACTGAGGTCTATTGTGGTTGAGTAATTGCCCAAGATCTTGCAGGCGATAAGCAGCACAGAGGCCAAGATTAACCTAGCAGGTCGTTCTAGTTTCTGAGGGGGTACACAGGCTGAGGGGTAGAAGGGGCCTGTGTCATCTGCTGTCTGGAGAAGATCTGCAGCTGGCTCAGGGCACCAGATTTGGTTGTGCAGGTTGGGCCATGCCGAAGGACAGCTGGCCTGTGGGCTGAGTGGGGCTGAATCCAGCCCATCTCCACTTACCGATCATGCGCCGGGCTTCCACCCTGGGGGTGTGGCTTTGTCTCATTCCACAGAGGGCTCTGTGAGTGCGGCTCCTGCCAGCCTTACTGGGAGTGGGGCAGCTTACAGATGGGGAGACTGGCTGGCACTGTGGAACCAACTGGCGGCCAGTCAGTGTCAATGAGAGTTTCATGTTGCCCTTGAGGGCAACCAACCCAGGCTGCTTTGGTTTTAAAATGAATGCTTAATTTATAAAAGTAACAAATTAAAAAATCTAGTAAAATTTAACTATCTCTTTTAAGGAGGATTTTATAACTTAATTCAATTCTCCTAAATAATTTAAATTATAAATAATTTTAAATAAAATAAACTTAAAAGTATGATAACTATTGGGTTGTCATAGTAGTTCCATCATTGTTTACAAAATTTATAAAATTATATTTTTCAACTTAAAATCACATCTAAATTATTCCATTACACATTTTATATTGGAATCACAAAGCTAATCTGTTAGATAGTCTAATATGCCAAATTATTTTAAACATTACAAATACTTTCAAACTAAATCTACACAGATTTTCCTAAACTTAATACCAAAGAAGAAGTAATATTGTAGATTTGATTTATCATTTCTAATCTAATTCTAAATCTTCCCATGATTAAAGACACTTACTAAGGAAACAAGTTTACTAACCAAAGCAATACAGGGTTATATTATATATCCAAGCAGATTTGAGGTTAGCTCACAGCTGCCTGAGAGTGCTCATTAAACAGAAATTTGGGGCGCAGCGTGGGAGCCAATACTGCAAACTTCCAGAGAAATGTATTTTGCCACCCATGCTGTGGGGCTGGCCCTCTTGTTAATCTCCATGCCGGCAGGGACGCTGAGTCCATGTCCTGCCAGTGGGATAGATTTTGTAACCCCAGCCCCTGAGATCAAGTGAAGCTCAGGTCAGCTTTTTGGTCTCCTGTCTCAGCTTCATCACCATTCAGGATGACCCCACCCAGGTCGTTCACTAATCAGTTTCCTGCTTGATTCTATTCTCAGTTGGGTTTTTGTTTTCCCTCTCTGGCCAGCCAGCAAGTGTTAGAGGTATTTTCATGCCATCCTTGGATCCTGCACGCTTCTCGTGGCCTTGCCTGGCTCTCTCCACAAACACTAAGGTCCTACTGATGGCAGCCAGCTGTGTCCATCTGGCCAGAGCAGCTGTGCTCTGTGTCGTGCAGGGAGCTGCCCTGGCCCTCTCTGTCCCCTGTGATGGTCAGAGACCTCAGAGGGACTGGATGGAGCCTGCGCCACTGTGTACTCTGCTAAGAGATGTCAGTCCCCAGGTAGCTTAAGACGCTAAATACAATAAGAAGCTTCTGGATCAGGATGACATGTCAGACTAAAAATAGTCCAAATATGTGTAATTTTACTTCTTAGTAAATAGAACAATAATTGTAATATTACATAGTAATAACATGGTCCAAGGTGCTCTATGTACATGATCTCTAATCAACAAAAATTTCTGAGTAAATATCATTATGCCCAATGAAATAGACACCAAACTAAGGCCCAGAGAGATGAAACCATAATGAGCTAGGAAAGTGTGCCCAGTAGAGGTCTTACTGGACCAGCTTTAATAAGCAGGTAAGACATAGTCCTGAGAGGCAATAGGAGCTGTTAAAATGCTGATGAGGTTTGATTGGCTACAATGTAAAAGGGTAATAACAGCTCCCCTGTACCAAGCACCTACTGTGTGCCAGGTGCTGTGGGGGAGAGAGCGCAGGCTCCAGGAGGGGAGACCCAGACTCCAGAGTCCATGCAGGGGCCCTCACCGTCCACATCACTCGCCCTCTCTGGACCTCAGTTTCTTCATCTGACAAGCAGGGGTAATAGAATCCTCCCTGCGTGCTTCACAGGGTTGCTGGGTCACTGAAGTGAGCTATGAAAAGCAGTGATTTGGAAAGTGGAATGTGCTGTATGTGTGCAAGGGCTTGTGACACTGGCTGGCCACTCTTGAGTGGCGACTTTAGTCTGGCCTGCAAGAAAGGAGTGTGCATTCTAACCTAGACTGGCGGGGTCTGAGTGTGGTAATGTTTGTCTCGGTGTCAGTGATCGCCTGTTCTCCACGATGTGGGCGGGCCAAGGGATGGGGCCGGTGTCCCAGTGAGGCAGATGGAGCATCCCGTGAGGATTCTGGGGAGAGGCTTGGACTCTCGGCTGCAGCGAAATCAGCCCCGGAGCCTTGGAGTAAGTGAGGGCCAGGGCCCAGGGAGAGGAGAGGGAGCCGCAGTGGGGATGGAGCGAGAGGCGCAGGGCCTCTTCACTGCCTGAATGGGGAGATCCAGCCATTCACCTACCAAATGAGGGGGTAATGGCAGCGGTGCAGGCAACAATGGGGTGCATTGAATATAGATAATTTAAAAGCAATAATAAAGCCAATTAAAAGCCGGTCTGCTTTTTATCATCACTGTGTGCTGGCTGTTCTAAACATCAGTGATAAAATACTTTTCCCCTTGAGGGGAGAGGGGAAGAGGGACATTTCCACTGCCCTCTTTCTTGGCATGCCATGGACCCATTGCCCCACCCCACAGTGAGCCCTTAACAAGGGGGAGGGGGAGGGGAAGGAGCCTTGGAAGGCCCTGAGATCAAGGAAAGAGCCCTCTGCCTGTGGGGTCCTCTGAGTGGATGGGCCCAACTATCGCAGAGGAAGAGCGGCCTGGGCGGAGTGTGGGGTGGACGAGCTGCTGGGATGCCCACTGGGGGACTCTAAGTCCTGCTGCAGTACTGCCCTTGTCACATGGGCACGTGCCTCTGTGCCACGTGCAGGTTATAATCAATTGGCAAGCACATTGAATGACTGATCCCTGAGCCTGCCCCTCACCCCACCCCACGTTCTGTGCTAAGAACATGGAAATCAGATTCTCCTCCTGGCTCTCCAGCAACAGCTGCCCTGCCCAGGCTCCACTAGGCCAAGACTCATCAGGCAATCTGTGCTCTGCCCTGTCCCTGACCTGAGCTCTGGCCCTCACAGTGACCACCTCTCTCTCCTCTGCAGGAGCCTGGTTGAACCTGCCAGTGATTCACGTAAGAATCAAGGTCCCGTAGCCACAGAGCCAGACAAGGATCAAGGGCCCGTGGGCCTGGGGCCTCTGAAAGATCAAGGTCCTGTGATCCAAGAGTCTCCGAAGGATCAAGTTCCTGTGGTCCCAGGGCCTCTGAAGGATCAAGCTCCTGTGGTCCCAGGGCCTCTGAAGGATCAAGCTCCTGTGGTCCCAGGGCCTCGGA